TAAAGTGAAGATGATGGATATGTCGCCCACTAGTCAATATGCTTTCTACTGCTTTTTTTAATTCCAGAAATTGCGCGTTTTACCGGTCCGGTAGTGATCTTTCATGGCGGACATGTAGTTGTGTAAAAGAGATTATATTTTTTCACTGCAAACCTAATTTTTTGGCTTTGAAGTTTCTCAAGATTTTTTGATTAGCTGACTGCTTAGGATCTTGCGACGACGAAAGTTCATTACTGAAGAGAGGGGAAAGCGGAAGGAGGGAGCAGAGGAAAGCGATTCAGAACGTCAGTTAACATATACCCCTTATTGTGGATATCTTCCATAATTTTGGTTCAAGGTGTATACGATGAGGAAGTATCAGATAGTATTATGAATTTGGATGTGACTAAAACAGTAGTTGAACAAGCTCTGGCTGCAGTGCCGTATGCCGAAGCGTCAGGTGAGGTTCACGTTAACGTTGTCTTTTATGTGATGTGCTTGACTTAAAGCTCTCATACTTATTTCAGGTATGCTTGTGGAGATGTGGAAAGAATGCAACAAGATAGAGCTAATTCCTAATATTGAGAAAATTCGATCATTTATCGTGGAAAAGTTGAAAGATTTCGACAACGAGGATACGAGATTGTTTGAAATAGAATTGGCTTGCAAGGAAGGAACTGTAAGTTCTCTAACTCGTATTATTCTCGTAAGGGTGCACCTAGACTCCAGGAGACAGTATCATGCATACACTTTCTACCAATTTCGCTTCCATTTGTGTAACACTTTCAGTCGAAATTTGATGCATTCGAATCGGCAATAGCCAAAACACCAACCGAAAAGATGCACCGTCTCTACTTGCAATGGCTTCGTGAGTCATCAGCAAAAGGTCGGTCCAATTTGATCATCTCTTGTATATCCACTTATCTTTCATACTCCCGCTTTATAGATCTCATTTTTTTTCCAAATTAGTTTTTAGTTTTTTAACGTGTGCATAGCTTCAAGACAATATTTACGACGACGTTTAAAAATATACAAAATACTCATTTTATATGCATGCTTTGCTTCCTCTCCTATGTATGATTGCTCTGCTATTTTTTCCTCCAACTTATCTAATAAATGCTGCGAAATGAACTATTCCCTATCCAGAAAGTGTTTGTACTTTAGACGCGTTCTCCGATATGAAGATTCGGCTTTTGCTGCGCAAGATTTGTGAAGGTGGATGGATGAAAGATAAGGATTGGTTAGATCTTGGAAAGTATATACAAGAGGCTGAAGACGAGTATGATGATCAATTTGTTGAGAAGTGTCTTGAGGTTATTCGTTCTTCTATCTGAAGTTTTAATATTATCGAACTTCTCCGCAAAGTTATCCGTAACCTGCTCTTCCAATGATTCTTTTCCATTTTTAAATTTACTATGTTTAGCAAAGGCCTAAGTGTGCTTCACTGTGGCAAGTTTATCTTGAAAGGCGATTAAAGGACAAAGTTGATACCGACAAATTCAGAGATCTGTGCAATCAAGCTTTGGAACAGGTTTTACCTTTATCAGTTTCTCTTCTCTCTATACAAGATTTGAATGCTTTCAGATTAAACCAGAAGAAAGCTTTCCTATTTGGGAACTAGCTATAGATCACACTATCATAAATGCGCCGGATGAAGTAGAGCAGGTTTGTTTATAGTTCCTTCCATATCACTATTCCGTCACTTTTTTTCGCTTCTGAAAGTCGTGTTACGTAACTGCTGTTTTCTAGATTTTCCACGAAGCGATTAAACATTCAGTTACACCTGTTACGTCAAAAATCAAAATACTTTTTGTGGACTA